TCTCTTAATGAATAGAGGGATTTGTTCTAATGGTGTTTGTAAATAGGATATCATGTCCGCATCTTGTACAGCAATTAACCACTAGGAAAATGTACACAATGTGTTAATTATTGAAACTGTCCTACCAATTTTGTTTGAAACTGTCTCATTGATATTTGTTTCTCATTAAAATTGTGGGAAAAAATAAAAACACAAAAAAAAAGGAAGAGGAAGAGAAGGAAAAGAAAGGAAAGGAACAAAATGGAAAGGAAAGCAATGTCTCTGCCACAGATTATGTTTCTCAATCTTTCTTTTCTTGGGAGGGTGGCTCACTAGGGATTGAACCCAGGGCCTTTGAACTTAGCTATGTCCCCACCCCCCCTTTTTGAGATAGAGTCTTGCTAAATCACTAAATTGCCCAACTTGAGCTAAACTTGCAATTCTCCTGCCTCAGCCTCTGGAGAACGCTGAAGTTCCGGGTGTATGTCACCATGCCCCCTTTGTTTCTCAAGTGAATATTTCTCCAATGTCTTTTTTCTTCAGAAAAAAACCTCTTTCTCCCACCTAAAACCCTGCAATCCAGTGCACTGTCAGTTCCATCGCACTGCATGGAGTAGCACCATGGCTTTATGCCGCTTGGGTGCCGTGACATCAGCCTGTGTTGTAAACTATTGTGGTTCTTGAGGCCCTCCTATTAGAGTTCTAGCATGTTTACCCTCCAGCCTAAAGTCAGCTGTTGTACTCAGCCCTCTGGGTCTATGAAAGATCAGAGTCCCTTCCTGATAAGCCCCAAACACATCCCTGTTGGCATCTGGTAAAAACTGCCTTCCTGAAAGCCACTGTCACACCAAACAGGCCAGAGCTCGCTTGAATCCTCAACTTTTCATAGGCCAATCATCATCCTAAGTTAGCGCTCTTGTCCTCAGAGTAAAGAATTCTGGGTCTCTGGGCTTGTTGGGGCAGGGGCACCAGGTGCATGGTGCCTGCAGAGGGCAGTCCTGCTGTGTCTAAGATCTAGGTGCATCTCCAGGACTTCAAAAGAAATGCGGTGTGGTACCCATAATCCTAGTACTTTAGAGGCTGAGACAGGAGAATAATTGCAAGTTTGAGGCCAGCCTGGGCTACATAGTGAGTTCAAGGCTAGGCTGACGTACAACCCAAGATCGTGTCTCAAAACCAATTAATCAAACAAAAAAGAACCCAGCCAAGTCCAACAGCGCAGTAATCAGAGATCTCCACTGAAGAAAGTAGACAAGCTGAATTCCCTGGTTTTGTGATAACTGAACCTGAGTTTCTGGGGGCCCACATTCTGTCTCCTTCCACTCCCCTACACTGTTCTGAAGTCTTGATGTGGAATGAACTCAATCAGCCAGAACTGAATTATAAACATGCTTTATTGGAAGTAGATACTGGGCATTGAGAATGAAAAAGCAAATAATTTCAAACAAGTAAAGAAGAAACAAAACTTCTAGAGAATAGCAGCAGGCAGGAGTGCCCCTCCCAGCCTGTCCGCAGACCACACCTGAAACTCACAACTGCAGCCGAACAGGACCTCCAGCCAGGTACCCTGACAACTGCGTTCTGTTTTAACCATGATCCCCCGTCTCTGCTCAGTCATGAGGAAACGATGGGATGATGACAGGAGCTGGGCACAGGGGCCTGGCCACCCCCAGAGAGGACAGCGTGGTCAGTCCTGGAGGGGGGCACTGTTATTCGCCATGGTCGCCCTTATCCACTCAACATAGTTCTGCACATTGGTGTAGATCCCATAGGTCCCACACTTGATTCCCCAGGACACCAGGCCAAAGACGTAGAATCTGGAGCTGTTTTCAAGGGATTTCTTAACAGCGAAGGCCCCGCCACTGTCTCCCTGACAGCTGTCCACACCCGCTCCTCCAGCACAGAACATGTTCTGAGTGAAAATGTATGACTTTGGGTGCACTTTGGGATTTTTCTCTTTTACCTCCTGGCACAGCTCTAAATCAGTTACCGGTAGTACCGCTCCTCTGAGGTGGTAAACTGAGTCCTTCTTCTCTGTCCTTCCCCAGCCCGAGATCATGCCCAGGTCCCCTACTGAGAAGTTGTATTGGGAGAGGCTGTCTGGCAGGCAGATGGGAGACACAGTCCGGCCCATCTTCACTGGGTCTTTCAGCCGCACCAGCGCAATATCATTGTCAAAATTGGTTCGTGAACTTGGGTCAGTTACCTGCTGCCAGTCTGGGTGAATAAATATACGCTCGGCAGTGAGCATTTGGTCCTTTTTCTCGTGTAAGCCCGTCAGCAGGGTCAACCCAGTGTACATTGTTGGGCGGTAGCTTCTGTCCACGACATGGGCTGCTGTCAGCACCCAGTACTCATCAATGAGGGCCCCACCAGCCCTTTCAGAACGGAAGAACACTTGCCAGGGGAAACTCTCAATATTTGCACGGGCGCCTCCAAATATCCTCTGGGACATTGCAAAGGGCTCGCTGGGGACTCCACAGACTAGGAAGGAAGAATGACAAAGAGGGGATGCATAGGAAACAATGCCACCTCCTGAGAAATCTCCAAGCCACTTGAATAATTCACCACTGGGAGGTGGAGTTCCCAACACAGTCAGCCATCTCCACAAATGATTTACCCTGACTTACCTAGATGTTCCCTTGCCAGTGCCACCAGCCGACTTATAGGAAAGACTGACTAAGCAGGGGCAGCCTGTGCGTTAGAGTCCAGAAGAACTAGCACCCTCTGCTACCCCAGCTGGATCCACTTCACACCTCAGGCTACCCTCAGGCTCACTTCACACCTGCACTCAGCTCAAGAGCAGGGATCCAGCTGGGAGCCTCTTTCCTCACAGACTGGGGAGGGGGCAAGCTTCCACCTTCTCCTGAGGCCCAGAGGAAGCCCTTCTCTCTTACCGCTACTTCAGTCCTAGCTGTGCCCTAGTTCCTCTCAGGAAGTCCCACACTAGCCTATGAAGTAAAGAGAGGCCTCTCTGGTTTGATTTCTCTTTTCCTGGTTTGATCTTGACCTCTCATTCCCACAGAGTGGTTCCAAGTTGGTGGAGTTCCCAACACAGTCAGCCATCTACTTTGCCACTCCCCATTAGTGAACTACAGACCAAGTCGGCAAATCTATGTCCTTTGCTCCCTGGGTTCAAAGCCATCCCTTGCCACTTATGAACTCCATGACCTCACCTTCAGTTCATTCATGCATAATACTACCTCACAGGAATGCCACAAGGACATGGGTGACAAACGCACCCAAGTGCTCAGCAGCATGGGTGTCAATATTACTATTTGGTTTGCCCCAATTCCACCCACTACTCAACTCTGAGCCTCCTACCACTCCTTCCTTCCTTCCTTCTTCCTTCCTTCCTTTTTTCCTTCTTTTTGAATCAAGGTCTTACTATGTAGTTCAGGTTGACTTTGAACTCACTATGTGGCCCATGCTAGCCTCAAATTCATGGAATCCTCCTGCCTCAGTCTCTTAAATGCTGGGATTACAGATATGTGACACCACACCCAGCTATAATCCTTCATTTCATTTATTCTTCTGTATCTTCTTATCATCCAAATTTTTAATATAACAACTAGCTTTTTTTTGGTCTTTTCGAGACAAGGTCTCACTATGCAGTTCAGGCTGGCCTTGAGCTCACTTTGTAGCCCAGGCTAGTCTTGAAGACTCAATGGTCCTTCTGCCTCAGCCTCCTGAGTGCCAGGATTACAGGCGTGTACCACCACACAGGGCTCTAACTAGCTTTTCAGTGATGATCCTTCACTCTAAACTTTCATGCCTGCTTTTAGCCGCTCTGTATCCACCTAAAGCATCTGTGTTGCCAGCCTAACTGGCCCTGACTCCGCCATCAACTGCCAGCAGCTGCCTTTTTCCCTTCCAGTCAACCCAATTGGGCAGTTGAGGGAATTCCCCACATCCCTGGCAGGCCAACATCCTGGTGTTACCACCACCTCCCCGAACAGGACTCAGAATGACCAGATATAGTCCCAGATCCAGAGGGTGACAGCTACTCTCAGATGGTGACTGCCACCCCCTGCACCTGTCCCCACCCCCACCGAAGTCCTGATTACCTGGAACACATTTCGGCAGCTCTGTGCCCAGCACCTCATTCACCCAGCTCCCGTTACCAGAGCACTGGTACTCAGCTGGAAGAGCACAAAGAACATGGTCACACCCACTGCCACACCAGCTTTCTCCCTTCCATGTGCCCTTCCGGGTATTGCCTCAGTGCCTCTGGGACTTGGACAGGCAGTCAGGTCAGGTCAGCTAGAAACAATTATCAGATCACTCCTCAGAGAACCCCTCAGCCCTCTACCCTACTAAAGGGAGGAAAAGAGCAGTCTCCAGAGTAGGGAAGAGGGCCATGAGGGTGACCGGGAAAGGTTCAAGTGGGAACAGAAAATAAGAGAAAAAAAGAGGGGAAGGGAAAAGTCAGGACAGGATGGGACAGGACAGGACAGGAAAGGACAGTTAAGTCATACTGTGTCTCCCCCAGTACCAAGGCCTGTATATCAAGAGAGCCAGTCATGGACTGGATATGTAGCTGAGTGGTATAGCACTTTCTTGCCTAGCATGAATGAGCCCCTGGGTTCAATCCCCAGCACCATAAGAAAAAAAAAAAAAAAGTGAAATGAAAAAGAGAAAGAAAACTAATCATCATTAACATGTCAACCTCCACCTAGAAACATCATCCAGAGATGGATAACCACATGAAGTGGACAATATAAGAAATTCCTAGGCCATGGAGATAGCTCAGGGGCATAAGAACCTTCCTGGAAAACACAGGTCATGAGTTTGATCCCCCCCCCCCCCGGGCAAAAAAAAAAAAAAAATCCTGCTGCAGCTATGAAGCTGAGCTGGCCTCTAAGATTCCTCACAAATGATCCTGAGTACATCCTCATCCCACATGAAAGCTGTATCCTTATAAGCTAAGAGGGTGACAAGGTCAGTTCTGCCTTCCTTGTTTCTATACAAACTCTCTCTCTAATCTTCTCTTTACCCTCTACCATACTCACGCACTCTCTCATGACCCTGGTAGAAGAAACCTACCACTTTCTTCATGTTCCATGTAGTAATATGGTTCCTCACAGGTGTAGCGAACGGCAGAACCAAATAAAGTATCTGCTGGTTCTTCAACTTTGCCATTTCGAATGGGCTCAGGAGCACCACAGTCCACAGCTACAAGAGAAGGGAGGAAACTAATGGTCCAACAGCCCCTTCCTTCCAGGAAGTGCCACAGGGCCAGTTCCATCCTAACTTTCCCCTCTTCAAATCCATAAGCACCCCAGGATCAATCTCCTTACATCAGCCTCTACAAATGGCCCTCCCAACCCTCCTGCCTACTAAGATCTGTCAATACAGATGGATCCTTAAAAGCTTGAGAGGAACCTGGTTGTCAGTAGTTGGTGGAGGATTCTGTGGGCGTCAAGAACATACCCACGGGGGGGGGGGTCTTAACCACTAATTCCACATCTCCTTCCTTTAGAAGAAAGTTACTGGCTTAATGGACCTGGGATCAGCCCAGAGCTGGAACTAAAAATTATCCATGACTGGTTTGCCTTCTCAAATCCAATTACTCTCTCACAAGCCTAAGAAGAACATATGCATTTGAACTGGGGCACAGAGGGGTAAGGATGAAACTCAGGGCTTCACCTATGCTAGGCAAGGGGTCCGCTCTGAGCTCCATCCCAGCCTTGTACTTTAGTCAGAGTCTCACTAATCTTCCCAGCCTGATCTCAAACCTGAGATCTTCCTATTCAGCTTTGGGAGTTGTTGTATCACCACAACCACAGCATCACATTTGAATTTTTTGAGACAGGGTCTCACTATATAGTTCAGACTAGCCTTAAACTCATTATGTAGCCCAGCCTGGTCTCAAACTCAAGGCAATCCTTTGACTCAGCCTTCTAGGTGCTAAGACTACAGATATGCACCACCATGCCTGGCCACCACATTTGAATTTTGTTGTGCAGATTTTGCAGTAGTTGGCTTTGAAAGGAAAAATAATAGTACCACATGGATGGGACACATACGCTGGCATCTCACTGTGGAACTACTCCACTTTCCGTTGCTTTGACAGGTAGAATATGAAGATGTTACACTAGAGTGTCCCTAGGGAATAGACATCATCATTAATTTATAAAAAGAGATGAGAATTTAAAATGAAAAATGAAACTGATATCTGGCTTTGTACCAAAAAGGAATCCTCACAGTAAAAAAAAAAAAAAGCTTAGAAACATTATCTTAGCAGAATGACCCAAAGCACCCAGGACTTAGGACTAAAGGACAACTGACCACCACCCAGAAGACTCAAAGCACAGCAAGGATGTCAGGCTGGGCAAAGAGCTCTGTGACCTGCAAGGGCAAAGATCTTGAGCCAATCTGTCCATGGCAAAGGTGATCATACCTTGTTCTATCAGGGACATCAGAAAAAGCGTGGGACTGGGTGTTCATCCTGACCTGCGACCATGGATTTGCAGAGAAGCTGAATATACTTCACCTCTACAATTTCGAATCCTTCCAGACAGATTATCTTCACCGTATCTTTAAACACATATTTCGCTTTTTCAGGCTCCCAAATTGAATTGGGAGAGACTTCTTTAGGGCAGGAGATAGCTTAGAAAAGATGGAAATTGGAAAAGAAGAAGAGTTTTTACTAGACAGTTAGAGACTATTTTTCTTATATCATTCTCACATTTTCTAAAATCATGAGTTGCCCTCAGTTTCAGTGCCTCACATTCCAACTTTTTTTTTTTCATTCCAACTTAATATGGCTTTACTAACTCTCTAGCCCCAACCTGTCTACATCATCAGTACAGTAGGATTCCTCACAGCAAGGCACTTCTAGCAACATCAACAGGGTTCCATCTTCCTGAGGAACTGAAGGGTCTCTCACCTCTACCAACAACAATCTGTTTTGATTCTGCATTGTCCAGGGACTCCAATATTACCAAAGCGGCACTTCTAGGCTACTTACGAGCTCCATGGTAACGAAACTTCCAGCCTTTGTCTTGCCCCGATAGATCAGTTTGAAAGATTATATCAACAGTATTACTTTTGGTTTCTATAGTTAGTGGCCCAGGGAATCCATTACCACAGTAAGGACCAAACCGTCGATCTCTTGTAACAAACTGAAAGGAAACAGAATGATGAAATTGGAAAACAGAAATAATAAGAGGAAAGAAGTTAAACGGCAACGTGGAGATAAAAGTAAAAAATAATAATAATAATAATAACTAAAAGAGCAAATAAAAAAATAATAAAGGACAGGAAGAAAGATAATTTTGTCTTTAAGAAAAAATCTCCCAGGCTGCTGGCCACATACCTCAGCGGATTAAAGCACCTACTTAGCCAGAGGCAGAGGCTGCCCCCCAACTTCTAAAATGGCCATTGAGACAGGGCGTGGTGGTGCACCCCTGTAATCCCAGCACTTGAGAGGCTGAAAAACAAGAGGATCACTACAAGTGTGATCTATGTAGTGAGACCCTGTAGACCCTGTACTAAATACAAGAAAGAAGGAGGAGGAGGGGGAGGGGGAGAGGAGAGGGAGAAGGGGGAGAAGAGAGGAGGAGGGGGAGGAGAAGAAGGAGAAGAAGAAACTTCCCACCAGTATGGTGGCACATGCCCATAATCCTACTACTCTGAAGCAGGAAGACTGAAAAGTCAAGCCTAACCTGGGAACTTTAGGAATTTAGGAAGACTGTCTCGAAATAAAATATTTTAAAAACCTGGGGATGTGGCTTAGTGCAAAGACTCTGAGTTCAATCCCCAGTAACACACAAAAAGAAAAAAAAAAAGAAAAAGAAAAGAAAAAAAGAAAAAAAAAGAAAAAAAGAAGGAGAAGGAGGAGGGGAGAAGGGGCAGAGGAGAGGAGGAAGAAATAATCATCTCTCTACACAAGCCGGGGTGGTGGCAAGAATGAATCGCCAAGCACGCACAACTAAGCTGTCCAGGCAGTTCCCTTGTGAGTCAGCTGGCTCCACATCAAAATCTTCTCTCTTCATAGTCACCACCACTTGGAACCCGTCCTCCAACTGAATCTGATATTCACACCGTGAGTTCTCCGGGTACAGATCAGGGTAATTGGGACTGGCGATCTCCCCCGTCAGCGTAGTGAATACATCCCCGCTGCAGTTGACTGGGGGAGAAAGAGAACGCAAAGCAAATACAGGGCTAAGCAAAGACATCCCGGCCCTAGGCTACCACCCCTTCTGTCATAAACTGAGAGTCCCTCATTCAGATTCTTGTACAACCCATTTCTGACTGTAGTCCATGGGGAGCCAGTATCTACCAGTAGACATCTCCAGTACCTGTTGGATTCCCATCATTTTGCTATGTTGAAGACGTCCATGGTAATGAATAGCCTTGGGCAGGCCCTTCAGAGGCATCTACCTCTCTTCTCCAACTAACTAACTTTATCCTATACCCTTGTGTTATACTCTAGATTTTAAATGTCTCTTAAATTCCTGAATGATAAAGGCTTGGCCTTTGATATTATTGGGAAGTGGTAAAGCCTTTAGAAGATGGCTTTCAGTGGAAAAAGTTGGGTCAGGGTGGACATGTCCTTCAGTAAACATTGGAACTCCAGTCTGTCTCTGTGTCTGTCTCTGTCTCACTGTGTGTGTGTGTGTGTGTGTGTGTGCATGTGCACGTCTGTCTGTCTCTCTCTCTCTCTCTCTCTCTCTCTCTCTCTCTCTCTCTCTCTCTCACCCTCTCTTTTTCTCTGACAACCAACAGACAAGCAGATTGATTCCACCACACACCCCGCCATGATGTTCTTCCTTGATACAGGCCCAAAGACATTAGACAATTACTATGGACTCGAATCTCTGAAGCTATGAGCTAAAATAAACATTTCTTCCTTTTAAGTTGTTCTTCTCAAACATTTCCTCACAGCGATGGAAGGCTAACACAGCTTATCTTCTTCCCCTTCTGTGTTCCTCTCCCAATTTATGGGTAACTGAGAATGGATGCCAACTGAAGCGTGAGCCGAATCTAAATTGGAAGATGGGCAAAGCCCTTTCTGAGCACTCACTCCCTCTTGGTGCACCCTCTTAGGGCCAAACTCACCTCCACAATTCCTCATATCATCATGGAGAAAGTATTCTGGGGGACAGGAGCAGAAGTAACCACCAATGAAGTTGTTGCAGAAGTGGCTACAGGGGACGTCTGCAAAATCTGTGCATTCATTTATATCTATAAGGAGTAAAGAAAAATTGAAGTCAAGGATAAAAACCCAGGAAGAGGCATGAGGTTAAGCCCAAACCTACCAGGGTAAGAAAAAGTAAGACAGACTCATTGCTGCAAGGCCTTCAGACATCCACATTTCAGAGTAGCACTGCTGGACATCACTTTCCTGAGTTATGGCTCCAGAGCGCTGCCCTGCCGCTGGACAGGCGTGGGGAGCACTCGGCACCAGAAACCACTAACTTCTCCCACTTAGGGTTTCAGTGCCAAAGACAAATGTCTTCTGCAGGGGAATGAGGACACATTCACCACTTTATACAATGTTGGTCCTTCTCTCAAATCGGAACAATAATTTATAAGTGCTTCTAACTCCATTTTGACTTGAAGATCGGTGTAGAGACATCCATACTGTGAAGGTTTGAATGCTGTGTGTTGAATGGGTTTGAGAACCATATATTCCTTATGCAATTCTTGCTGTATTATTAACTGTCTTAGTTCTCACTTTCTTTATCTTTGTATGAGGATACCTACCTTGAAGTATTGCACTGAATATTACTTATTAATATTGTTAACAGTACCCAATTCACAGCGATTCCCAACAAGTTACTATTTTTTTTTTTAATGAACAGGTTTTTTCTGTTTTATTTTTAATTTATATTTTCGGTACAGGGTCTCATTACACAGCTCAGACTCATAGTGATACTCCTGTCTCAGCCTCCCCAGCACTGGGATTACAGGTGTGCACATTATGCCCGGTTTCAGTGACCAGCTCAGCAGGCCCAGGGTTTCAGGGCCAGCACAGTATACAGTACCAGGGATCAAGCTCAGGCCTTTGCACTTGCCAGGCAGGTGTTTAGACTGCTGAGCTATCTCCCCAGTCCCTAAGTTACTATTTTTTATCCACTATTATCATTACCATCATCACTAAAACAACATGTTTGCATGGACCCAAGACAAAACAATATTTTATTTTTTGTTTTGCTTCGGTACTTTGAAGCAGAGCCTATGTATTCCAGGCATGCCTTGAACCCGGCAATCTGCCTGCCTCAGTGCCCCTAGTGCCAGGATTACAGGTGTGCACCATCATACCTAGCTAATATTTTGTAGTTTCACAAAGAATCCTTACTGTATGTATTGTGTGAGATTTTTTCTACTTCAACTCTTTTGAATCTTACCAATGGCAACATAATAAGCAGCAAATCCAGTATAACGCTCTTCGTTGGAGAAATCTGATGTAAAGGTCACCTGGAGTTTATTGTTTGGGATGTGGAACTCTTCTATAATGGGGGAGTTGGGGTTCTTGCTGGTCCTCTGTCCACAGAGTTTCCCTTCTTCAATGCCTCCTGACACTATCTAAGGGAAGAGTTATAAAGATGCTAAAAATGGTTAATCATTTGGAATGGAGATAACCAAAAAAAGGGACAAAGACAGAAGAGCCCTGACTCCCACCAGACTCATTCAATCTGTCACAACACGCCTGAGGCACCCACTTCTACATCCCCGCACCTTGGCCCAGCCTCTTCCACATGGCATACCTGCACTGAGTCGTACAAGCAGTTCTCAGACACCTCTATGTCCAGATGGGTGAAGTAGAGGTGGATCCCGAACCCATCCGGAACCTCAACGTCCCAGGTTTGCTTTATCTCATTGGGGTATGCCTGAGGGTAGTTAGGGGACAGGATCTCCCCATGCAAGGTAGGCTCTGCAGAAGCCCAGGCCCAAAGTGAAAACAGGACCATGCACCTGGGGGAGAAGGCACAGTGAGGAGAATCACCAGGGATGCAGGCCTCATGCAGTACTTCATAGGTGAAAGGAAAGAAAAAGGAAAGGTGCAGCCATCCAGCCAGGGAAGAGAAGCTTAAGGAGGACGAGAGAAAAGGCCTAGGCAAACCAAAACCCAGGTTTTGGGTCTGAGCCCTTTTCTCAGGAGCCAGGGGCAATAGGGGCCAAGCATATCTCTGGAATGCCTGCTTGCTCACCACATGGCTGGTGATCTGCCCATGTCACCCGTTCTGACTCTGCTTCTCTGGACTTTGGAGCTGAAGTGGTGAAAGGCACTTGCTTTGGCGGTGAACAGTCGCCTGGGGCTCAGTGTCACTTTCCTAAGAAAAACTCAGTTTTACAGAGCAAGACCACTAATCACCATCTTGTGACCCCTGGCCTCTCACACCCTCCCTGCTCCAACTTCACCCAATTTTCTGGACTAGAATTAAGTCTTCTCTGCCCATTGCTTCTCTGGCTTTTCTCCCAATTTTTCTCCAAAGGAGTGAGTCGTCTCTCGCAGCCTGCTCTTCTGTCCTCCTGCCCCATTCTCAGTCCCTCCGACTCTCTCTCTCCCGCCCTTGCAGACTGATCTCCCCACTTCCACGGCTGTGAGGAGTCTCTGCCCACCCGGGTAGCACAGCCTCCCGCCCTTCCAATGGTCCCCTCACCTCTTTGGGCCACCATGCTCATCGTGCATGTGTTTCTACGGATACCCCAAGCACCACTGATGGGGGAACAAGCTTCTTTCTATAGGGTGGGGCAAGGACCTTGGGAGAAGTGGTCTGAGGGGGGAAGTGCTGCCCCCATTGAGATGGGATTGTAAAGGAAATTTCCTACAGTAATGTCCCAGGGCCAGTTTGTTGGTTGTTTGTTTGTTTTACTACAAAGACAAGATATTTCCTGACAGTCCCTAGGAAAGTCTTGGCAAAATTGCTTTTAACCCTGCCAACAATAGTACATGGTGGATAGGGTGAGAAGGCTCAGCCTGAGGTTGTCTCTGTCCTGTCTTAAGGGGCTGGGGTGATAGGCCAGTAGAATAAGTGCTGCCTAGCAAGCACAAGGTCCTGAGTTTAATCCTGGCTACTGCAAAAGAAATGTCTCTGTTCTATCTTTTCTTGTTTCACTCTTTCCAGCCCTCTATCTTTCCCCAAACCTTTCTCCACCTTCCTTTTCTCTTCCATCAAAGCTCTGCAATTCACTCATAAGGCTTTTACCTTCAGAAGCTGATGGGAGCAAGTGCGGCAGTCCTCTCTCTCCAGCCAGCGGTCATGCTGGGCAACCCCGGGGCCTCCCTGAGGTGTCAGGCTGGCCTTGCCACTCCCTCTGCAAGAACCTCTGCTGATCTCCCAGCCCTGGTTCTGTGCATAGGCGTGCATGTCCAAAATTCCCTGATCAAAACAAAGAGGGGGCTGGGAGACCACGCTCCAGGGAAGGGTAATTCAACCTTGATCTCGGAGCTCCCTCTGCTTCTGAAACCAGAACTACATCTTCTGTCCAGGTCTGAGATCCCAAAATCCAGGGCTCCGTGGGGAGAGGAGAAATGGGGAGTTTCGCAGATTGCCTAATCCTCTTTTTCAGCCAAGGGTGTATATCAGGGTTTTGAGAGAAGTCAGGTGACTTGTGGGAAAAGGAGGAGACTGCTACTAAACAGAAAAAGCCAAACTCAGAAAGTCCAACCCTCTGGCTAGATATGAGTCACAAATCCAGGGAGAGCACTGTATTCCTCTCAAGTCTAGCCCACCCCTGCCCTCAAGGCCAATTTAAGTGAGACAGTGACTTATAGCTTGATCCCAGCTGGTGTGAACTGCCAAAATTCCTCCTCATATAATTCCTTGTAGAGCTCGGATGCCACCTGAAGTCCCTCAGCCATAACCCTCAGGGCTACATATGTTTGGAGATAACAGAATTTTACAGAAGCAATGAGCTGCATGGACCCAAAACCAAGCAACAATTTTTCCACCTTCCCCCAGGCCCTAGAAAAACATTTCATTATCAATGAAATATATTAATATTTCTGTAGCTCGACTTAATGTTCTTCAGAGTAAGCAGAATAGCTAAAGATTATGAAGTAATTCACATCAGTTAAAGTCAGATTTTGCTGTCAAATGAATTTTGGCACCAAACTTAAGAGAAAAGGGGAGGGGGCTTACTTTTCACAGATTTTTGGAGTCTAGAATTATAGAAGAACTGTGGACCTGTACAAGTCTTCCACAAAGGTTTCCTTGTCTCATTTCTCCTTTGTTACTTTCTACCCCTGGATGCTTGGGTAGACAGGGTGTGTGTGTGTGTGTGTGTGTGTGTGTGTGTGTGTGTGTGTGTGTTCTGGGAATTGAAGCCAGGAGCTTATGAGTGTTCAGCAAACACTCTAACCCCTGTCATTGTGTCTATATTCCAGTGAATCCAAGACTTCCTCAATTGAGGATTCTCCATTACTTTATATACCTCTTGGAATAAAGAAGTTGTCAATTAAAGGATGACATTCTATGGATTATAAGAAGCATCCTGACTTCAGGAATGCTGAGTAGGGAATGGGTGCAGCATGGTGCGGCAGCCTTGCACACATCTTATCTCTGGTTAGTCGGGTACTAGGCCTGCATCTGGAAAACAGATCCAAATCTCATCTCTCCTGCGAGTCAGTGGTGAGGCCTCAGGCTTGCTGCCTTCCTGGCATCCTCCACTATAAATCAGGAATACTAGGGATGTGGCTCAGAGGTAGAAGACAGGCTCAACATGCACAAGACCCTGCGTTCAGTCTCGAGTACCACAAAATGAAATAATCAGATCTTTCTTCTCTCCATGGCTGTTGGGCTATCTAATGGAAGATCAGAATGCATAAATTTTACAAACTATGGTTCCAAATTGATGCACATGTTGGAAGGTGAGCCTGGGAGGTCTCTGAAGCCAGCAGGCTCGGGTCCGGGTCTGAGTCCCCTGCGTTCCCCGCCATATCTAACAGTGTCACACACAAAGCAGACACACAGGCAACCTGTATTGTTCCCCAGGCTGCCAGCCTTTGACTAGTTATCACACTGCGGAGGTCCCTTGCTGTGTGAGTCTGGCATGCAGAGAGGACCTCACAGGAGAGAGGACACAGACCTGGGAAGCACGCTGCCCGCCTCTGCAGCAAGCCTGAAGCAACCACCTGCAGCACTCTCTGTTCCTCAAGGCGTCTGGGACAGCGTGCCGCAGCAAGATGGAGGAGGATGCGTGGACTGCAGCACAGTGTGGACAGCAACCAGGATGTCTGTGGCACAGTGTGGGCTGCAACAGCCGAAGCAGCCCCATTCCAACCAGGGTCTCTCTAAGCATTTCTATGAGCAACACACAATTCCTGCAATGAATTTCTCTTCCACTAAAATCAACCACTTGGTTTCTGTAGCTTGCGACTAAGAACACTGGAAAACCCCATCTGCTCATTGAGTACCCGAATAATGATTGAATGGATGAGCCAGCAGAATGTGAAACCCAGGCCAGTCAAATAGCTCAGCGGACTAAAGCACCTGCTTAGCCAGAGTGCAGCATCAGGGGTTCCATCCCCGGCCTGCCGTGCCGCACCCCCCCACCCCTGGGGCAGGCTGATGATTGAGACTGGACATGGTAGCACATGCCTGTAATCCCAGTGCTTGGGTGGCTGAAAACAGGAAATCACTATGAGTCTGATCTATGTAGCGAGGGCCAGGGAGATGGCTCAGTGGAATAAGTGCTTCCCTGGCAAGCACAAGGGCCTGAGTTCAATCTCTGGTTCCGAAAAAAACAAACAAAAAAAAAAAGCTTCATCATGATCTATGTAGTGAGACCCTATAGACTCTATACGAAATACATTTAAAAAAAAAAAAAAAAGTGAAACCCTTCCCCAGCTGCTTTGGGCAGTATGACCACAAGAGGCATTTTGCTTCTCTGAGCTCCAGCTTCATTGTATATGAAATGAGATAATACCACCTATTTCAGACCCAGTTGTCAATTTTCAGGGACAGCTGAAGCTAAGATTCAATGAAACAGGATGTGCTAAGCTTTCAACATATATCTAGTACTCAGTAAACCTTTGAAAAATAACAATAAAAATTCTATCTTGATTTTTGGACATGGGAAAGGGGATTAGCAGAAAGAGAAAGAAAGTTAATGAGATTGAAAATAATCGAGATGTGTTAAGCCAGGGAGGTAGCTCAGTGGAGTAAGTGCTTGCCTGGCAAGTGCAAGGTCCTGAGTTCGATCCCTGGTACCACAAAAATAAAATAAAACAAGCAATGGCCATGACTTATCCACATGGCTGACACCGACACAGGATCCGCAAACTGCAGTACAGGGTTACAGGATATATCTTGAAGGCACTTGACTGACCTTATCAGATACAAAAGCTACATTTCTTGTTATACAGGTCTTGCTTTATCTTGGTCTTAGCCATCAAGCAGAAAAGTATAAAAATGAGGTATATAAAGTAAAGCCATATTAATATGCTGAGCTGTGTAAGGCTCAAGTCAACAACTTCTGCAGTTAACCCACTACTATTGTGGACTGCAGGATTGTGTTGGATTGTTTTGCTGAATTCACACACCTATAGTATTTAGATGCCAATGGAAGGGCCAAGGAGATGGCTTAGTGGAATAAGCGCTTCCCTGGCAAGCCCAAGGACCTGAGTTTAATCCCCGGTACAAGAAAAAAAAAAAAAAAAAAAAAAAGATGCCAATGGAAGAATGCATTCTGAATAATTTTGAGGCAGGGCAAATTCACTTACTGTTGCCAATAGTTGTTGGAAATATTACACAGTCTTACACCGTGCCAGTCTTTAACCGCCTTCAAATGTACAAAGAGCAAGCGCATGCTTATGAAGAACATGGGGGCTAAAGGCCAGCCTGAACTACATAGCAAGACCTTGTCTCAAAAAAGACAAAAAAAAAAAGAAAAAGAGAAATGAATCCAGCATAAAGGAACACAAGGGGGCCCAGGAAGTGCCGTGGAGGCCAAGTACTGGGGTAAGTCACTGCAAAGGCTCCTTCTGCGCTGCGATTGTACAAAAAGGGCGAAAGCCAAGAGGCACAACAAGGTAAAACATCGTGGACTAACTAAATACAGGGGTATAAAACTGGGCTTGAAAGGGCAAAATTGTGTGCTACGGTTAGTTTACTGTTTTCCACATTCTCTATTTTCTCTTCCACAAATAACATATTGTGTTACTGACTTACTACAAACAAAACTGTCACAGGAAAGAAAAAAAATAGATGTCAATGGAATATCCATCTCTGACAGCACTAAACAACAAAAAAAGGGGATACACAGGAAGGACCATTTTGTATCTGTATATGCAGAATAGTTAGGATAGATATACAGCTACTTTTGGCTAATTCAATGAGAAGAAAGATTTGTACTAATAGTGTTTGGACAGGATATTCCGTCTGCATCTTGTGATATGGATAACCACTAAGAAGATAACAATGCACAAGTATTAATTATTGAAACTGTCCTATTAATCAGTTTTGAAACTGTCTCATTGCTATTTGTTTTTCAATAAAATAAAAAGATACGTTAAATGCACATACCAATTTTGCAAAACAAATCTTACCATTTTACATTACTAATACACACTAATTAAAATATATATATAAATGAAGAGGGGAAGAAGGGTGTAAGAGAAAGGATAGAAAGGGAATGGGCAAAAAGAATTAAAACACATTATGTACAGGTATAAATTCCCTATGGGGAATATGACCAATATGTATGACAAATATATATTAATAAAAAATATAAAGTTAAACATATGCATATGGCATTTAATAGAAATAAAGACCAAGGAGAAAGAAGTCGCTTAGATTAGGATCCAAATGGTGCTAACTGAACCTCTGAATTCAACAGAATTGCCCTCATAGACACAGGCAGCACTGAGCCAGGAAAGGTTTCTCCAAAGACAGAATCGGGCTCCCTGAAGACATCTCCTTGCTAAAGGAAGAAGGCCAAGCTGAGGGGCCCACGCCAGGTCATTCTTCCCATCGGTACTAGTCAGACAAATCCCCCTTCCCAGGACCGGGGATGGACTGGAGCAAACAGAAGAGCCACAAGAGGGCGCTGCTCCCCTCAGGAACCGTGGCCCTGGCCCAGGAAGCCGACCAACTCCTCCCTGATAGGCCCACAGCTGCTCTTAACCTGTTAAACTTGGTAATTAAGCATTGGGTCAACCAGCCCGGGGATCAACACACCTGAAGGAGGGGGCCAGAAAGCCAGCCAGCAGAGTCCTGCTCCACTCTCGCTCACCTGCACCTGTCCTTCTCTTGTGTCCATTGACACTGTTGGCTCCAGAACCCCTAAAACAATTCTAAACAATACAGTAACATTAAATATATCCTCCAGCCAAAGAAATCCACTTTCTGTTCCATTCACCATTTTGAATCGCACCCGGCCATGTTGTCTAAGATAGTGCCGGAAATCAGCATTAACACTGTCCCCCTGGTGAGATAGCTCAGTGGTCTAAAGCACCTGCTTAGGCAAGCTTAGACAGGCACAGAGGACCATGGTTCAATCCCCAGCACCACATGCTGCGCCAGCCCCGCCCT